ATCATGGCAGAGTGTGTGGCAGAGGGAAGCGGGTCACATTATGGTGGTTAAGAATCCTAGAGGGGCTGGGGGTGTGGCTCAAGCGGTAGCACACTTGCCTGGCATGCGAGCGGCCTGGGTTCGAGCCTCAGCACCACATACAAACAAAGATGTGTCCGCCAAAAAAACTAAAAAATAAATATTAAAATTCTCTCTCTCTCTCTAAAAAAAAAAAAAGCCTAGAGAGACTCCAGCTCCAGAAACAAAATATATACCCCATAGCCACACTTCCTCCAGTCACACCCCACCTGCATCTAGTTACCACTCTGTTAATCCCATCAGCGATTAATTCACTGATTGGGTTAAAGTCTTATAATCCAATCGTTTCTCCTCTGAAACTTCTTGCATTATTTCACACGTGAGCTTTTGGGTGATCCCTCATATCCAAACCATAATAATTAGTGGGGTCTTGTATATATTTATTTTATACTTTGAGTTATATATAAGGACTACACTTTTGTTTTATTTTGACCATTAGGTGTTATATATCAGGACTATACTTTTGTTTTATTTTGACCATTAGGTGTTTGTTAAGGTTACATTGACATTTAAGAGCATAAAGTGCCCATGACCATGTTTGAGAACAGCTCAATGATCATAAAGTTAAGTAGTTCAGACAAGGAGGAAGACAATATTGCTGGAGTAGTTAAAAATCATGGGGGTGAGGAAAAAAATCACCAAGAATTTAAGTAGGAGTGGTTTGACAGGGTGATAGTGAGCCCGGAGCTCAGCTCATCTGGAAATGGAGGGAGGGATGGAAGAGGGCAGAACATGGGTGTGGGTTGAAAACTACCCATTTCGAAGTAGTGTTGGTTAGATGGTTCAGTGGGAGAGAAGGAAAATGACCTGGAGTGATAACATGGAGGAAGGAGGATACCTGCTTTACCTTCAGGCCCAGTGATTTCTTCCAGGGCAGTGTGAGGAAAAGGAGTCACTTTGAGAAATTTGCATGCAGGGAAAGCAGTGTCTGCTGGTCAGTTGCAGAGGGTACAGTAGAGGGATTTCTTCTTCAGAATTAGGATAGGTAGGATAGGAGATAGGATTAGGATAGGTAGAGGATGTGCAAAGAGTTATGAAGATTTGTGTATAGGAGATAAGGATAGCCTGGGAGTTTGTAGCTTTTTGTGGTGCTGATACCAACAAGGATGAAGGGAATAATGACTTTAGTCCCATTGGACCTAAGGCGGAGAGGAATGGTAAGACCAAAAGTTTCTGTTTGGAAGTCATTTCCCTAACTCCTTTTTGAGTTCTGCAAAAAGAGACAAAGAGATACAGGGAAGGACAGGTTTCTTTCTTTTTTTTTTTTTTTTTCCCTGAGCTCATCAGTACTAACCAAGTGAATATTCATGTGAGTTCAGTTATACAAGGAGCTCTCCCATTTGATCTCAGATGGAAAATAAGATGTCTGGGGCTGACTGTTGTTACTAAAGTATAATATTCATGTAGAAAAATGCACAGATCATAAGTGTTAGTCTTGGTAAATTTTCATCAAATGCACACACCTGTGTAACCAGCTCCTAGATGATGAAACACAATGTTTCCATAACCTCAAGAGCAACCACTCCCCCAACTTCTAACTTAATTAATTTTACCTGTTTCTTGAAGTTCATATAATGGAATTATAGAGTATGTACTCTTTTATCTGCCTTCTTTTGCCCAATATCATGGCATGGTTGTAGTTTTAATTTATTTATTCATAGAGATATATTTTGTTGTGTGAAATACTCTGTGTGCTATACCAAACTTTATCCATTCTACTTTTGATGGACATTTGTTCCTAGTTTGGGCTATTTGAAAAATTGCTATTCTGATGAACATTCCTGCACATATGTATATGTCCATGTTTCTATTGGGTATAATTTTTATGGATGAAATTGTTGAGTGCATAGAATGTGCATATGTTCAAGTTTAGAGGATATACATTGCTAAAGAGTCTTCCAAGATATCATACCAGCTTATATTCACACTAGTTCTATGTGAATATTATGATTGCTCCCAACTTTACAATACTTGGTATTATCTTTCATTCAGCCATACTTTGGAGTGTGTATGTGTGTGTGTGTGTGTGTATGTGCGCTAGTGTGCGTGCAGTATATTTCATTCTACATTTCAGTTGACACTTTCCTGATGACTAACAAAGTTGAGCATCATTCCTGTGTCAAATTTCCACTTGGTTAAGGGATGATCTTGTTTTTCCTATTGGGTTGTCTGCCTTTAATTTATAAGAGTTCTTCATTTGTTCTGGATATAAGACTTTTATCATCTATATATGAATGTAATTCTTCCCATTCCGTGACTTTGCCTTTTCATTCCTGTAGCAGTACCTTTTGATGAATAGAGCTTTTTACTGTTAATGAAATTCAATTTATTCTCTCACCCCCATGATTAGTGCTTTTGTGCCTCTTGTTTAAGAAATCTTTCCCTACATTAAGGTTATGAAATTACTCTCTTAATGTTTTCTTTTGAAAACTTTATGTTTTACCATTCATAGTCAGATGATTCCACTGGAACTGTTTTTTGTATATGGTATGAGCCAGGGGATCATAGTTCTCTTTTCCCTCCTCATGTTGGCCTGGTCCTGTTTATTATAGAAGACAGTCTCTTCCTTGAAGAATTCAGTGTCACTTTTGCCATAAATCAGGTGACCATGTATGTGCAGGTCTGTTTCTGTTCTATTCCTTGTTAGTTTTTCTACCCTTATGACAATATCATTTTATAATTTTAGTATAGTTTTGGTAAGTTTCATAGTAAGCCTTACTATCTAGAAGTATAGCTCCATCACTGTTGAACAAAGATGCCTTACTTGGCAACTTTGCATATTCCTACTGATTCTTTTAAAAATTACCCTTAATTTTTTTAAAAAATTATTTTTTAGTTGTAGTTGGACACAATACCTTTATTTTATTTGTTTATTTTTATGTGGTGCGGAGGATTGAACCCAAGGCCTCACACATGCTAGGCGAGTGCTTTATTGCTGAGCCTCAGCCCCAGCCCTGAGCCACAACCCAGCCCTTGCCTTAATTTTAACTAGAAAGTTATTTGGAACTTTTTTGGAAAATACATGCCGCATTCTTTGTAACTTGATATGGTATACTATTTGTGATGACTTTTTAATCCTAATTAAACAATAGAGTATATAAAGGAAAAGTTTTGTGTATTTATGTTTACTTTGCTTCATAAATATGCATAAAGGAGTAAAACTAAGTAGATACAGGGTAAAAGAAAACAAGTGTAATGATATAAAGTAAGGCAATAGAAAAGTTGATCTAGGCTTGCTTTTTATGTGAACAAAGTTAGGGCAGAAACTTTGGCTCCCAATTTTGTTAGAATTAGAGCAAAGCTAATCAGCTATGAGATTCAAAATACTCATAATACAAAACAGCCCAGTTATTTTAAAGGAGAGTTTTCCTGTACTGAAAACTGAGGATGTGAATTTTGTCCTTTGTTGGCTTTTAAGAGAGATAATGTGATCTAGCATGCTTTTGGTAACATTTAGGATAACATTCCAAAGCCAACTTTGTCCATACAGTTCTGACAAATCAATGATGTAATTAAATATGTGATTTTTCTGTTAGTATGACTCTATTGAAGGAAAAATGAGCTATTTTTTATTTTAAAAAATGAGATACATAAAACTCAAGTCATCATGAATGAATGAATAGAGTATATTCATCTGCAAGAATCTCTGTTTTTCATTAAGATAGCTCCGTATACTTTGATGAGCAGCGTAGCAAAGATTATGTGAGTTTGTAATGTTCTTTAATAATAATACTGCCTGTAATAATACTCTATTGCCAGGCCCTGTAATAAGTGCTTTTATCTTCATTTTAAAATTTAATCCTCACAGTAATCCCTTGAAAATGGGTTCTATGGTTATTACTTTTTCACTGATGAAAAGTTAGTCAAATATCCTGCCCAAAGTTTATCCTACAAATAAGCAATAGAACAATCAGGATTCAGTTTTTGGCAGTTCTGTCTCAGGTTCTGCTACATTGTAACATTGATGAAAGTGAAGAAAGCTACTCCAGTATTTGTGCAGAGTCAAGGGGTCAGGAAGTTTAGACAGAGCTAAAGTTTTCCCTTAGGAAACAGTTTCTAAGTATACTTTCATACGGATAGATGGTTGAAGGAAAATAGATTGTACTTTTAACAAAAATTTTGCTTGAAATAAAAATATTATTCAGAGCATGGCAGCACATGCTTAAAACCCCAGTATCTTAGGAGGCTGAGGCAGGAGGATCATCAAATTGAAAGCCAGCCTTGACAACCATCTCTCAAAATAAAAAATATAAAGGTTTGGGGGAATGTTGTGGCTCAGTGGTTAAGAACCCTTGGGATCAATCCCTGGTTCCCCCCCCCCCCCAGAAAAAATTACACATTTCCTTTAGCTTGCTTGTTGTTGTTTTCCCTTCTTACTTATGTAAAGCCCAATCTTCTGAATAAGTACTGTTGAATAGGGTTAGTATTTTGGATATTGTCACTTTTTTTAATGAATATTAAGGTATTAAGGAACTGAATGTCTTGTCTAGGTAGTTGCTGCTGTGAAGAACTGAAAAATAAGCAAATTAAATTACTTTAATTCTTTCTATAGATTCAATTTTGGGTGTATTCTTAATTTTTCACAGTTTTGAAATATTTTCCACAATTTTAAGACAAATGATCTTTTTTGAAATTATTTAATGGAAACTAGAGAAAAAATTTCAGTATGTTTTGCAGCTGGCATTCCTGAAAGCTGAATCAATTGCACAGCCAATTTCATCATGTTATGATATTTATACTTTTGTCAAAATACTTGCATTTTAAGTCTTGTTTATGCACATTGGTTTTGAAACGAATGTAGTAATTTATGTTTGAATGATTTTAATTTCACAAATGGCCTTAACATTATAGGATTACCTCTATGCATAGTAATCTGAATAAAAAATATTCAAATTTTAACATTTTTCTATGTTGATTTTCAGGTTGAAGGTTTGGAACAGATGTGGAAAGATGTTTACTTCAGAGAAAGGGGTTGTGGAGGAATGGTTGTCAGAGTTTAAGGTAATATTTACTGTTAATCTAAAAATTATATTCCATAGAAGTTTTCAGTGACTTTTTAAATTGTATATGACTGAAAAGATAAATAGCTGAGGGACAAGCATGTTAATAATATCTTAATAGAGAACTATTTACACATGGTAATCTTTTTTCTAGAAAATTAATTTCTGTTTTCTCCTGAGTGGTGATGCAGAGTTTATCCATTGATTTGCTTGTGTATTTCCTCCCTTCACAGCAGCTCCACTAAGAATGGTTATGAATGTTGATGTGACTCTCCAGTGACCATCAATGATTCATTGTCAAAATGTTTCTCCCAGTCACGGGGGAGAGCAGTGGCACCAGGCATGATCAACAATGGGGAGAAGATGGGAAAGTACTTGCCCAGCTTTCTACCAATGGATCTTTCTCTAGTTGGCTAACCCAGTGGTTATTTAAGAACTATATAATCTTTATTAGTTGGTGAAGGACATAAATCTCATGTTTGCTTGTCTCATGAATTCTTTTTAATCACAACTAAAATTGTGTTCCCTAAACCAGCTAATTCCTTTTTTCTATCCTTATACAACACCAAAATTGTGTGAGCTTCATGATCATAAACCACAGAAGCAAAAGGTTTGGGCTGAAATTGTCACTTTGATTTTGTTCAACCCATCACTTCCAAAACCTTAGGGAGAAACTTATAGTCTGACATTATCAGGTTTATTGACTTGTTGCAGTGAGGGAGATTGCACAAGAAAGGACATTTCCTCAAATAAAGGAAAAGATAAACAGTATAAAAGTGAGGGTAGAATATAGGTGATATTTAAATAAAGCTGTCTGTATTTTGATAAACTCAAAACAAAGCAGAGCTGTTTGTAATGGGCACATTGGTGTGGACTTCAAAGTGGATCCAGGATCTTGCAGTCTAGAAAACTACAACAGTAACGTGGATTTGGACTGTTGTATTCAGAAACCCTTTATCTGAAGCTCTGCACCTGCATTGGAAATCAAGGTTGATTCTCTGTGTCAAAGTGACTTATGTCCTCCAGACAAGAGTGGGATGTTTCATTGTTACTGACATATGTTTAAATAACAAAGTTTTTGATAATCTCTTTTGGACAACAAGGATTTTCAGGGAGTAAGAATTCAGTAATCATTCAAAAAAGGAGGTTGTTGTGACACTTTTCAATTGCAGTGTGACCTTGGGAGAAGCAATGTATCCTATTCATTTTGCAGCTGGCCTTATCTGTCTCTTATCTAATCCTGTTGAGTGTCTGGGTAGATTTTTACTTTCTCAGCTTTTATAGTCATGAATTGAGCATCCTTCTATATGGATCCCTTGTCATCATGAAGTGTTACAGAATGTTATAAAAGTGTGCAGTATATAGTGCTTTATATAATTTTTAATAATTTGATTAAATTTTGTATGTGCTTTTTTCTTCTAAGTTTTGTCTTAGTAATAAGCATTCAAGATGTTTTTAAGCTTTTTCTTTTCTACTTTAAAAGTGTTGACTATGATTTGATGTGTAGTATCATGATTTTTTTTTCCTTTTTTTGGGGGGGCAGGTCAATGGAAATTGTCAAGTTTGACAGTTGAGTACCATTTCTTCTAGGGCATACTTATATTTATAATAGTGAAATCAAGCTTGCAAAAACAAATAGCCATTTATCCATTCTTTGTGATGGGGGTTGTAGAAAGAGGACCTACTAAAGTGTGGATCATATAGGAAAGATCAACTCTACAGGCAAACAATTGAAAATTATGACTTTTTCCCTTCCCTGCCCATCTGTTTGTTCTCTCTTTCCTCCTCCTGATTTGGTATGTAAATACCTAGGAACTTCAATAGGGAGGACTAAGGGGGGGCGGCAGGGCAGCAGTATAGGCAGTGATATGCCCTAGTGTCTGAAGAAGTGGGTGGTTAGGGCAAAGGGTTGCAGAGGTACAAGAGCCAGCTAGAGAAGTTGCACTGGTAGATTGGTTACATTGAGTAAATAAGTTAATTGAGAAAGTAAGTGTATATATTGAGGATAATGGGAGTTATGTTTCTGTCTTAGGAATTACAAAAATGGAATGGGTTCTAAATATATGATACATATATATGTTTATACTTATATGAACACATATTTCCCAGCACTGTTCTCAGAGAGGACCTAGAAGTAATGGCATCCCAGTAGCACCAAATAAACCAGGTTTTATTTTCTAAATACCATCTTCCACTAAAAGAAGCCAAAGTGTGAATAGCTGAAAGTACTATCTAAGTAGTAGTTTTATCAATAAGACATATATTATCTGATTGTTGAGATGGGCAAAAGGTGTGACTTGTGCAGTTGAGGAGGAGAAATAAAGAATGTCCATGTGCTTCTGCCCTTTTCAATGCTTTACTCATTCAAATCATTCAATACAATTTCACTCTATGGGTTCTTAATCAAGAAAATTGCAATTCTTAATGCTAGGCACTGCAATAGACATAGTCAATTCACAGCAAACAATTCTAGATTGATTCTAAGCACTGCAAACACACTTAATCATGACAGGCTCAGGACAGACATTCCCTCTGCATGCTAAGCTCAAGTCACATCAAAAGTCTCAAGCCTTAGGCTCTTAGTCCAGCAGACACAACCTCACTTAGATCATGGTGGTCAGATCAGGACAGGCAGGCTTCTCCTGGGGTGGAGCTGATGGCTGGTTGAAGAGAGGGTCTTAGGGAGAAGTTGCATTTCTCACCAGGGTCAAGATATGGCTGTAGAGTTTGAGAATGGTGAGGAAGATACAGAGGATCAGGCAAGTGATGAGAAGAGTTGGGATGTCAGTCCAGGTCCTCATCAGGCTCTCCAGCGTGAGGGCATCAGCTTCAGCTGTCTGAATGTCTGTTCATTTGCTCCATCATTTATACGAAATTTCAGGGCTTCTGACCACCCTTTCAATCCCTATCAGCTGCTACCAGATTTCTCAGTCATTATCCTGAGGATAAAGCGTCTGGCCTGGTGGTCCCCACCCTGATTTTCTTGCTTTCTCACTCTTATCAGGGAGATCCAGGGCAACTTGCCAGAGACTTCATTCTGAGTTTGTATCAGGGTGGGGATAAATGACTTGTTTGTGCCTGAGGGCCATACTGGAGGGCTCAATAGGTGCCAGGTGAGACGGCAGGTTTCAAACTGGAGTTTTAAAATGGAGTTGCTTAGGCTAAAACCTAAGGCCATTCTTACGCTGGGTAGCAATATTTTCTTAAATTTTAAAATTAATTTAATGTAAAGTTAAGGAAAATTTTCCATTGGGAGGAGAGAGTGAAATCATAGGCCACCTGGAATAAAAAATAATATAATTTATTTTCTCCCTACCCTCCATATTAAATTTACCTAGTTTCCAATAAATTTGTTAGCACAAATGTTTAAATTATCTTCAAGTCTTTATGTCAGCCAGTTTAAGGAAAGATATTTCCTATTCCTTGACTAATTTGATAGGCATTCCTGAAAATGATTTTGAGTGTTATTCTGAATTATATTAATGTGTGTTGAATTCAGCTCTGTGTTTTGATAAAAAGAACAAGATTGTCAGGCTAAACCAGCATACCAGAGGTAATAGAAGGTAGAAAATTGCTTGGGAACAAATCTGCAAAGTACTTTTAAAATTAGAGTAACTTGTCTTTTGAAATGGTTTGTGTTATTAAATTGCATATTTTAGTTAAAATACTTAAGAAGGAAGGTTTTGAGGGTACATACTTATTTTTAGAGAAATCTCAGTTTGGTTGTTTAATAATAACCATGGCATTAATAAGGCCAAAATCATTGTGATTTATTAAGTAGACCTAGAGTCATATACCCTTTGATCTAATCCTAATTCTCCTACTAGGTGGTTTTATGACATTGGGAAAATCATATAACTTCTCCACATCTCAGTGTCTTCAGAAAATTTGAAGTAGTTGCTCTGTGAAGATGATTTTAGTTCTATGTTCTTCCATGATGTCAATTTGAACTCCTAACCTCAAAACCTGACTCAACAGACTCTGAAATGCAGAGACAGCAATTTGCTTTGTGCAAATCTTTTGTTTAAAATCTTAAAAATGAAAGAAACATTTTTTTTCCTTTGGAAAAGCTATCCAATCTCTTATTAGTATTTTCATTATAAACAATTAAGTGAAACTTGGATTTTTCATTTTAAGATTTCATGAATGGTTTAATTTCTATCTTTCCAAAGATTCATTTATACAATATTACCTTGCAAATTATATTATGTTTTTCTCAAAATAGCTAACAGATTTCCAGACTCCATTTTTTTTCCTGATAGTCACTAAATCTCAGTATATTACTCAAAATCCAGTTTTAAGTGTGATGTTGTTGATCAAGGTTGTTTTATTTAATGGTTCTTTACCCATCTGTCCATCTTCATTAATTCTCTTCCACCCAACCCATATTATTTCCTTATATTTTTGAAAAACCATCTGCCAAATGATACTTCAGTATGAAGCATCTGTCTTCTTCAAATTTTGCCAAGAATAATTTCAACATAATTTCCCATTATTACTTTTCATCCTCATTTGAAACATGAGAAACCTTACTAGCACTTAAGAAAACCAGTACATTATAACTAGTATGCTACCAGAAAATTTAAATGTTTTTTTGTAACAGTACTTATATTCATCTGTTTCTTTCAGATCTTAAGTTTTTCAAAGCATCCCTTGTAAACATAGCAGTTATATCCCACTGCTTTTACAGACATTCATAAAATGAAATAATGACAGAATTGTGAATAACATATAATAGTTTTGCACTAAATTTTAAGATAGCCTTTCTCATTCAACTGTAGTAGGCCCAGTTCAAGGTATTTCCCAGATCTTGACTTTTCAGAAAAAAAAAGTTGTTTTTTTTTTTTTCTTCCTTTGGCTGTTTCACAGAAAAGATTGTACTCTGTGAAGCTAAATTGATACATACACTGAGGATTATAATTTGTGTTTTTAGTGACTGTTCCAATTTTAGCCTAGATAGTATAGATAATATTATAATAATCTTTCTATTCAATAGCAATTTTAAAATATTTGTACTTTTAATTCATTTATTCTTAAACTTTATAGACATAATTATACTAGAAATATATGTAACTAGGTATGTATATTAGGCATTTATATAATGTTTTCATATAGACTATATCTATTTTATACTTATAATTTAGGCTTGTAGGTTTCTATTCAGGGATTAGAAATCTGCTGTATATTTGACCATTACTCCCTTTTATATAAATTTCCCCAGTGTGAAGTTACTCTTAATCAAATTACGGAAATGAAATGTTACCTGGATATCTTTTGTTACTTGCTTTTGAAATATTGAAGAATGCCCTAATCTCTTCTTTATGTAAGCAGTACACTGAAAGTATTTTCTTCCTCTAGAAAATGGTGGAAGGTTCCCAAATAGTTCACATTAACTTACCATTCTGGTAAACAAAATTCTCTCATTAGATTAAAACAAAACTATCCACTTTTGTATCCTAAGGTGAAATATGACTTCTTTTGAAAGAACCATCTGAAGGGTAAACAGTGACAGCTTCTATTTCTTATTCTGTTTCTTTGTAATATGTTCCCTCAGCAAAGATTTGAGTATGGGGCTTTGTGCTGAGTGACATGAATGGGAAACACGATAAGAGTGTTCTTTCCCTCAAGGAGCTCACAATAAAGTAGAAATGAATCAAGTATCCTAATTATGAGAATGTCGGTGGTTTAATTTTCTACCCCTGTTTATGCACACAAATACCTATATCACATACCACAATCCATGTTAAATCATGAAATGCAAGGTTATGAGATATGTAAGAAATAGTGTATATCTTGGAGTGACAGGAATATCTTGAGACATGGTATCCACTGAATAAGCATCGATTGAGTGATTGATAATTGAAGAAGAAAAGTCATTTGGTAGAGGAAAAATAACAATGCTACGGAAGGGGGTATGCTCTAGAAGCATATGTTTTTGTCATTGTTATAATGAGTTGTTTCCCCTCCCTTTCTTTCTTTCTTTCCTTTTCCTTATTGCTATTTTACCCAAAGTTTTATGACTTCTTACTGAATTTTGTCTCTTTCCATTCCTCTCTGGTCTTGGTGTCCTGTGTGGGTGGGTAGGTCTGGCAAGCTGTGATTGGTTGTCCACACTTTTAATGACATTTTAGTTTGCTGTGGGTATGGATATGTTTTTCTCCAGTTCTGAAAAGTCTTAAATTTTCTTCCCAAATCCAGAAAGTAGATCAGCTCAATAATCTCAACATGTAACTCAGTAGTTACTTGGATCAGGTGATCTGTGGCTTTTAGGTGGAAATGTTATCAAATCCTTATATAACATGAAACAGGATCAACATAGTTAATGAAACTATAATTTATACAATGCTACAAAAATATATCTATAGCTTTAAACCCAGTTTGTTTTCTCATTTCTAACCCCAAACTGTAATTAAAGATGAAGGTTTGGTATTAATTTATGTTTCTGTTGATAAGAGAATAAAATACATTTTTATTTTATTTGTTGAGATATAATCCACACCATATAAAATTCACTATTTTAAGGTGAATACAATGGTTTTTAGTACATCCACAATGTTGCAACCAACACCAGCATCTAATTCAGGACATTCCCATCCCCCCAAAGAAACTCAGTGCCTATTAGTGACTTCCAGTCACCGCCCCCACCAACTGCTCCAGTTTCTGGCAACAGCTAATCTATTTTTTTTTTTTTTTTTTTTGCTTATTTTGGAATTTCATAAAAATAAAGTGAATTTTTTTTTAAATTTGTTTAGACACTGCCAGAAACATCTTTACCAAATTATGCCACAAATTTGAAAGACAAGAGTTCTTTAGTTTCATCACTCTATAAAGTCATCCAGGAGCCACAAAGTGAGGTAAGTACTCTTACGGTTTATTATGCTAGTACCATTCTGTTGATCGATTGCTGATTTTTTACTGTGAAGTATCTCTGTACTCTTGAAAACTCTAGGTAGCTACATTCATTTTATTCATTTAGAAAATATCTGTGCCCATCATAAGGTGTCTGCTCTGCTGTTCAATAGAGAATCACAAGATCAATAACACATGATCTTTATCCTAACAGAGAAAATGAGGAGGAAATAAGTAAATGTGTTTTCAAGGCAATGCTTAATTGAGTCTATGGGCACTATGGTTTGCTTGTTTGTCCCCTCCAAATCTAAATGCCACTGTAACAAGTCTTAAGTGTTGGGACCTTGAAGGGGTGATTAGGCCATGAGGGCTCCATCCTTGTGGGTGGGATTGGTGCTGTTATAAAAGGGCCAATTGGGCACCCTCTTGCTCTTCTGCCTTCTGCTGTTGGATGATGCAGCAAGAAGCCCCTTAAGCTTGGATTTCCTAGCCCAGAGAACTATGAGGGAATTAATTTCTATTTATTATAAATTATCCAGCCTGTAATGTTCTGTTATAGCAGCAACACAAGATAGACTAAGAGTGTGGATAAGGACAGGTTTTCCAGGAGGCAAAGCAAATAACATTCCAAGAGAGGCCTGAGAATGTACAAGGTGTTATAAGGACAAGTAGTTTGGATAGACTGGAGCCTTTTCCCTTTCTCCTCTTTTTCTTTTTGTCAGGAAGACAGTTTATTTGAAGGTGATAATCTATACTACAGATTCTGATGTTTATAAATCCTGCTACTCACAGGAGAAATAGAAAAGGATTGAAAATGGCATGAAAAATAAAAAGGCATGGCACTTGGTAAAAGGCAAATAGGCTAATGCAATAGTTGACAAGAAGAGGGTCCAACTGGCAGAACTGAAGCTGAAAGGATAGCCATAGGGCTTAACCAGGATGAGCCTTGACTTCTATCTTAAGCAGTTTAGACTCCCCCCCTCACTGGCTGGTATTGGAGAATGGGAAAAGTATAAGCAGGAAGACAGGGGGCTGTCTATAACAAACAATGGCCTAGCAGGGAGCTATTAAGAACCTGAACCTGGATAGGGCTGGGTGGTGGTGGAGAGAAGTGGGGTACAGAAGAGGGATCTGCACAATTTCTTTTGTTCTTAAGTTTGGCAAATGAGGTGATAGTCTCTAACACCACTAATCTCATTATTCAGTGGTAAAGAGACATAGGCTTGAGTCTAGTCTTCAGTGGATCCATGTATCCTTAGAGTGAAACTACCCAACCCAGGATTTTTGTTATTTGAGTAGTTAATCTCTTTTGGTGGTAGTGTAGAATAGCCCAGCTTCTATTTATTGTACTATAAAATACATTCATTATACATTTTAAATGCTACAGGGATTATATTGACAAGCCAACAAACTTTAACTGGAATAACAATTAACAATCGCATTGGATTTATTTCCTCCTCTTCTCCAAAGCAAAGCTTCTTAATTTGTATAGAATGTATAGATAGCCTGCTTCTTCTTATTTATTTGATTTGTTAAGATGGGGCATCATTATGTTGCCCAGGCTGGTCATGAACTCCTGGACTCAAGTGATCCTCCTGGGGCTGGGGTTGTAGCTCAGTGGTGAAGTGCTTGTCTTGCACTTATGAGGCATTGGGTTCCATCCTCAGCATGACATAGAAAGAAATAAAGGTATTCTGTTCATCTACAACAACAACAACAACAACAAAAAAAAAAAAAAAAAAAAAGTGATCCTCCTGCCTCAGCCTCCCAAGAAGTTGGGATTATGAGTGCATGCTGCTGTACCCAGCTAGCCTGTTTTCTTGAAAGGTTTGCCTTAAAAGCAAAACCATTTTTTGGAACTGTTTTTGTTTTCCATGTTTGTTTCAGAATTACTTGACCTAATAAAGTATAGCTATGTGGTTTTTTTTTTTTTTTGAACAAATTAAACTTGCTTGTCAGGTACCGTTTATTATTTTGGAAGGCTTAAAAATTATTCCTCTTTTGAGATGTGTTTTAACCAGGCTACTTTGGAAAGAGTTCATAGGATAAATTTCTGATTTGGTATGTTAATTAGAGCATTTCTTTTATTAAGATAAATTTAGTGACTACAGCTCTAGTGATTCAGAGTAATATTTCTTAAATTATTGTAGTGAAAGACAATTTTTAAAAATTGTTTCCAATTTGTCACAGACTAGTATTGTGCATAATGTGAGGCACAACTCACATCAGATGTGAGGCATCACACATATTTGGTTATCCCTAACTGACCTAAACTCTGGTAAGTCTGGTGATCACCACTCGGTTACTACAATAGTATAAAATTGCTTTAAGAATGTTTAAATGTTTCCTCTCAATTTCTGTGTTTTTGTTGTTGGGGACTGGTGACAGTTTGTGGATGGTCTAAGGGCCACACTTGGAGAAGCACTGGTTTCAGAAGTTTTATAAATGTTTTGTCTTGTGTTTTCATTCTGATTAATGTGGTGAGACAGTGTGTACTGTGTATTCTTAAAAAACAACTCAGCCTTTCAAGGCTTTTCCCCAGTCTTCTAAAATGTAACAGTGTGCTCTACTTTAACTTTGTTGCCTCCCTTTTGTTCTTTAGAATACTTTGTGTCTGAATTTGGAAATATTCCTGAAGAGTTCATATGACTGTCTCTTGGCATTTTTAAAATTTGGAACATTGATTTTGGTGTTAGTTGAAGTTTGGGAAATTTGGTATTTGTATTTTACTAATAGTATTTTTCTATTATTCAGTTTTATTCATTTAATCAATATTTATTGAACACATATGTCAGGAACCAGGTAGGAATATAGCAGAGAATAAAATAGACTATATTCTTCATCTTATATGTAGAACTTGTGTTCTAGTAGGTGGAATAGACATTAAACAAATGTATATTATAATAAATGCTATGACAAAGCGGAGAAGCTAAATAAAATGGAGTAGGGGACATATATATATCAGGACTGAGGAGGTGATGGTCAAGTCAACGTTTGAATCAGTTAGAGAAAAAAAGTGAGGGCAAGAGATTTCCAGGAGGGGAACAGTGGGCATGGGGCCCTAAGGTATGTGTGTTGTATTCAAGAAAAGTACAAAGAGACAGTTTGTATAGGCATACCTGCAGTTTGTTTGGATGGTGCTTTTTCATTAACTGTAATTTTAAGATAGATATGAAATTAGAGGATAACAAAGCTTAAGTCTTGTATGAAATCAACTGTTTTTGTTTTGTCTTTTTTTTTTTTTCTTTTTTTTAAAGAGCCACATAGAGTCTCCTATGTTCTAGGAGTAGGAAACCCAGAGTGAGGGAGGTCAGGTCCCATTGACTGCTGGTACCAGAACAGTGCCTTCACAACTTCTCAGTATCTTTTTTCCTACTCATATTCATCAGTAATTATTCAATTAAAATTTTCTTTAAACTTTATTCTTTGTTTGCTTAGTTAAGAGCCTTTTCCTAGGTTAGTGATTAGGGGACATTTTTGTGTCGCATTTCTACCTTTAGAAATCTCTCTTAGGATACAGACTTCTAATTGATGAATGGATTGTTGTAGAAGTTCATTTGAGCTTAGTTTAGAACTTAGGAAGTATGTTAAAATGGAGAGAATAATAGTGGTTGGGTTCTTGTTAGACTCATAAAAGCCCACCTAACTCATGAAAATATACTTGTGGTATGGTTCTTTCTTACTAGTACTTAAAACCCCAATTGCCATATATGGCAATTTTCCATGAGAAAATACATTAAAGAATTCAACCCAGACACTAAGAGCACAGCATGTTCTAATGCTCCATGGCTTGCCTCAAATATATTCAAGTTAGGTGTGTCAAACACTGCCTGTATTTCCCACAATGTATTTTATTTTATTCTTTTATGACATATTAAAGGTGTGGTTGTAAAGGAGTCAAAAGACCTAATTCCTTTCTGGCCCTTGTAAGCTGTGTGATATTGTTCATGGTGGATAGCCTCTTTGTATCAATTTCATTATGTGGAAAGTGTAGATAGTGCTATTCTACCTGTAGTAACGTGGAAAATGACCAGATTCATATGTGGGAAGTTGTTTGCAAGCTGTAAAATATTGAACAGATGTTGATATTTATCTGTACTGATTTCAAATGGGTAATTTCTTTTAATCTTTTTGCAACATAAATTCTACCTCCCTTTGAATCCACCTTCATTTTGTTCTGCTTTCATTAAGCAAAAACCCATTTAATTTGGGATTTGGAACTGTTTATAAAGCCTTTGAGTATGTTTTGATTAAAATTGATTTTATGTTCAAGTAGATTGTCTTGAATAAATTTTCCAATTTGCAAACACTTATTAGACTTATCAAGTTTTATGAAATGATTTAATCAAAGTTTGCCCAGGGATTTAGAAATGAGGGATATTATAAGATTATTTTGGCTGGTCTATAAAGAAAAAATTTTTAAAACTCTTCCAAAAGCTAGACCTTCCTCTAAAAGTCTTTTTTCCTGGCACCTCTAATCCCATTCTTCCAATTTCCTACCCTGAAACCTTTTCTTGCCATCTATGGATGAAGTACTTTGCCTCCTGCCTTTAAATTTCCTATTATCTTCCATGGATAGAATGGATATCAGTGGTCCTCCAAAGACCATTAGAGATTGGAAAAACTATTCTTTATGGAAGAATAAGTGTTAGAAGTTAGATAATTTTTCAGGAGAGACTTTATTGATATAATCAGTGTTTATTAAACTTGTACAAATAATATTTGACTTTATATTATTTATATACTTATATGAAATAAAAATGTCTACTGTAAGTTGGTTTCTGCTCATTAAAATTATTGGTAATGGAAAATTTGTTTAGTAAATTGATTCAAATCTGTTCCCTGTCAGTGAAATACAATTTATTGAAAAATACAATAAACTGATAGCTTCCTTGAAAAATGAGTACCTTTGTTAATCTCTTTGCATATTTGATTATGATTTGTGTGTGATCATTGTTTAGGCTTTAAGACAACACTTACCTAAGTGGTTCTCTTATCTTGCCTTTTGGCTGTTTTTTAAAAAGAGTATGATAAAGATGCAGTCAATTCTACTAACTTGATAAAATTGGTAGCATGAGGGAAAGGAAGATGTTATAAATGACTATGAACTATGTCTAAAACAAAATTACAGCAATGTTTAGATTATCCAGGGACAATTAACCATGGTTGCAATAAGAATCTAGATTTAGGCACTCTGTAACTATTTAGCCTCTCTACACTCCAGTCATTGCTGTCACATGCTGCCTAATTATAAGCTCAGGGGTGATGTGTGACAGTAACTGCCCAGGATTTCCATTTCAATTTCTCTACCCTATAACTATATATATATATATATATATATATATACACACACACACACACACAAGTAATTTATTAAGAAAAAAGGCTTTAAGGAAGAAACTTCCTATAAAGTAGCTATTATAAGACATTCAAAGACATGTTTTAAATAATAGTATTACCTCAGAGTTACAGAATATGTCAAAGATAACATGTGTCCATAATACTTGCATGGCATTTTTGTCCTTTTACCAGAATTCAAAAGGTTTATTAATAGCTTAGCAGTGAATACTTTGCTTAAAAAGTTAAAACATTTGGATATTTCTGTTGTTATTGATCTGAGAAAACTTTTTATATTTTATATGATAGTGTCATTCAAACAGAGTTCAGTTCTTGACTAACATTTCTTCTTTCTTCCAGTTGCTAGAACCTGTCTGCCACCAGCTCTTTGAATTCTATCGAAGTGGAGAGGAACAGTTGCTTCGATTTACACTGCAGTTTCTCCCAGAACTGATTTGGTGCTACCTTGCAGTCTCAGCTAGCAGAAATGTGCATAGCAGTGGATGTATTGAAGCTCTTCTTCTAGGGGTTTACAATTTGGTTTGTATTTAATGTATTAACAAATGCTTTTTTTGGCAAAATCAAATACATAATTTTGCAACTACTTTTTGTTTTAATAAAGCTAGTACTATTTTTATGTATTCTCCCCAGAATAACTTTTTATGGAAATTGGGAACTCTACAGTCACACATATAATTATTTAAATATACCTTTATGAATTGTTTGAAAGCTGAAAAGCATATGATTTCAAAATTTTTATAGTGGTATCTGCAAAATATTAATATTATATAAAATTTTAAATAAAAACAATTTAAACGTTTATAGGCTGCTTCTCAAAAAATTTAGAAAAGATATTGTCTAATATTCACCAGTCATAGTTGCATAAAATCTGTGCTATCTCCAGAGTTTACATCTTTGTTTTACATGTATTTTGCATTATTAGTAGTTTGTGTGTTAATTATGAAGATAAACTTAATGGCTTGTACTTTTTGTATGGAAAGGAATTTTAAGATTCTTTTCTTGACATATTTTATGTTTAAATCATTAATTAATTTAGAAACTGTAGCTTGTTGCATGAAAAAGATCAACGATTATTAAGATAGTATATCTATATCTCAGTTATCCTAGAAAGTATGTATTACCTTTATTTTAGAATTTTTTTTTTCCAGGGCTGGGAATTAAACCCAAGGCTTTATACATGTGAGGCAAACATTCACTGAGCTATACCCCAGCCCTATTTTTTACTTTAAATGTAGAAGAATGTACTTTTAAATGACTATTACTTATGAATAATTGATAATGGATTGTCATTGTCTAAGAGTTTGAAGAATTTAAAATTTTCTACTCAGTTTTTTAAAAAATAGTTTAGCCTAACAATATAAATTTAGTTTTAAGATTTGTGTGTATAAAAGCAAATATTTTAAGGCATTTTTCTTTCACTTTTGTAGGAAATAGTTGACAAACAGGGACATTGCAAAGTATTGAGTTTTACGATTCCATCTTTATCCAAACCATCTGTATATCATGAAGTAAGTGACATTTTATCAAAATAAGCTTATTGGGTCCTAAGCTTTGATATGGTCAGAAACTAGATTATAGTTTCATATGCAAAAATATTGATAAATTTTAATGTCTAAAAAATTCTTTTATAAAGCACCAAAGTGTTACTATTTCCAATATGAAATGGAAAATCAAAATCATTAAGCATTGATCTAAAATTTTTTGTACATGGTAATTGTATATTTTCATGGTAGAATATTTGGAATTTATGCTATTTTTTATTTGTCATTTGTGATTTGGTTTTTAATTTTTATTAAATCTTTGAGCAGAAAATTTGGTAGGCAGTTTGAATGAATATTGTTAAGATTTATGCTTCTAGTAGCCATTCTTGGTATGGTATATATTCTAAACATCACATTTTCAACAGAATAGCTGTTTTCTCCTTTGTTCAAATGTCTTTTCTTTAGCCTTCCAGTATTGGGTCCATGGCTCTGACCGAGAGTGCACTCTCCCAACATGGTTTATCAAAAGTCGTGTACAGTGGACCTCATCCTCAAAGGGAGATGCTGACAGCACAGAATAGGTATGCTGTGGAGCCAAAACTTCTTATCCTACCACAATAATTTTTCAAAAAATGATTTCAGTAAATTTTTGAATACTGTTTAATGAAGTTATATGTAGTAACTTATTTGAATATTGAGTCATTTTGTAGAAGAGAAAAACATCTAGATTTGTCATTGCACCCTGCTTCAAATGTCATCTGGAACATTGAGTTTTTAAAATGTTGTATATGGCTGTTATCTCTTGGAAAGTCTTTTTTCCTTTTAGCTCTTATTGTTACTGATATGCTTATGTTGTATAAATCTGTTCTCTAATATAATAGCTCACCTAAGATGCCCTCTTCCCTGTTATGGTTGACTTTTTAGAATTCTAAAGATGTGTTAGCATTCCTTTGTCTCCTCCTTAGGTTTGAAGTGTTGACATTCCTTTTGCTGTGTTACAACGCTGCCTTAACCTATATGCCCAGTGTTTCTCTTCAATCACTGTGTCAGATTTGTTCAAGGTAAACTGAAATTTAAATGTTTTAATATTGGAATATCTTAATCTAGGATTATTAGTTTGTTACATACCTCAGTTATTTTTGTTTTTATGTAACTGTTTGTTTAAAATTTTAAGTAAGGTCCTATGGAGCTCAGTCTATGGAATACATAGAAAGCTCCCTCTAAGTGATAGCCACAAAAAGCATAATGGAGACTGTCAAGCTAGATCACATTTAAATGAAATATTTAATCAAAAAGGGATTATGCTGCATGTCTGAAAGGGTAGAATGCCTGAGACCTTACCATTTTTGAAATGTGGTTGGGCTTTTTGTTGTGTTGTTTGCTATTATTTATTTATGTTAATAAATATTTTTGGGTATATTATGCAAACATTAAAAACTCCTTCCCATATCAACAAGTATTTAATAGTATTCAAATATTTAATAGCATATATAATATGATGGCAACCGTATATACTATAAGGTATATTATTATTTTTGTACCTGTGGAATATGACAAGGACATTAACAATGGTTGTCTCTCATTTGTGGAATTATGATTTATTTGAAGGTTTGGGAAGTCTTTTTTTCCTTTTCCTTTTTATTGTTACTGATAAGCTTATATAACATAAGTCTGTTCTATAACATAATAGCTCACCTATAGATGCCCTCTATTATCTCTTCTGTGATTTTTCCATGATTCTCTACTTCTCTGTGATGAACATGTTACCTTTAAATAAAATAAAATAAAAATGAAACAAAAAAGAGAAATTATTGCTTTTGATAGCCCAAATAAACTTAAGGAAATTGAAGAAAACAATTTGTATTTGGGGAAATTTTGAGAACATAAAACTTAGCCAGAGGGAGAGTCTATTGAGCAATACTTAGAAATAAAATCAATTAAAATAAAATAAACAAAAAAAAGCAGAACGTGGTCATGCAAGATCAGCTGAGGAAGGAGTTAAAAAGACAAGGGGCTTGTTAGAGAAGTGAAAAGAGTCTTTCAGATAATTTCTGAATTACTTGAAAGATAATGCCAGTGTCATCTCTTTCACTTATGGAACCTTTCTGATATATTCCTTGCTTTAAATCTTCTAAACTGAGGTGCCTGGCTTGAGTTCCACAGATCTACAAACATTTCAAAGAGGTGAAGCATGTAGGTTATCTACATGGTGTTACCAACTTTTTATTTTGCTAAGTTTTTGTAAGTATCTAACATCAACATTATTTATGATTTATCAAAAGGGAGACTTGTGTGTGTGTGTGCGTGTGTGTGTGTGTGTGTGTGTGCGCGCACCACACACACTGAGGATGAAACCTAGGGCCTTGAGCTATATCTCCCAAGGGAGACTATTTTTAAAATCAAAAAGGGAAAAAATTGGAAGGGAAGAACAACAATTCATAAATGAAAAGTGGGTTAAGTTTAGCTTTCCTTGTTTCTGATTTCACTGTGGTCCAGTGAATACTTTGTTATGTACTAAAATGTGTATAAGGACCAACACTTCAGAAATACTAGTTTAAGTAGAAACTTGATATAGTAGAATTTGAAACATACTACACCATCCAGGTCTTGATCTGAAACTTTGAAGCAATGTGTCAGATGATAGGACCCAAGAATATGTTATGTGCACACACGTATGTATATGTGTGTATGTGTGTGTGTGTACATGTGTTTGTTTACGTGTAATATGTAAATTTGAAGCTCCATAGATGTTCGAATACTGCCCTAATAAGAACCATTGTTGATGTTTCCCCAAAACTACTGATGGAAAAGTTAGGAAAGAATATGTGTGGCTTGTTTTGTCCTCTGTAACTCTAATGCATTGCCTTCTAATAGAATTACTTTTACATTATAGGTAGACAATTGATAATTATGGGTAGACAATTGACAGTTTTACCTAATCAGGGAACTGAGTAACACTTCAATGAAGAATGCAAGTAAAAGTCTGTTTTGAAAGCAGAGAAACATAGATTGCCCTATGTTTCTCTAGCTGTAGGATTTTGGCCAAGGAAGATTTTAGTAGGAATGTATTAGATGAATTTATACCCCAAGAGAAATTATTTCTATGTTCACCAGCTGTAAAGGAAATGTGGGTGGGGGAAGAAATCTGAGTACTTCAAAAGATTTAAATTACACTAACTCTTAAGCCATTATTTAAGAGGAACTCCATCAAACTGTCATTCCTATTTTTTTTTTTAGTTTTTTAGGTTTTAATTTCTATTTTAGGTTCCCTATTGCTCTATTCTCAATGGTGACATCCAGTTATTCATTAACTCCTGGCTCCCTTAATCAATTATGATACATTCTAATTTAGAAACTTTGTAGGTTTTGAAGATGAGTCAGAAATAATTAGAAAACACTTGTATTTAGTCAAACTAAGCCGATTCGTATCTATGGAAAGAAAGTTGTTGACAAAACTTCAGTAAGTTATGAATGATGACAGTAGTTATGAGCTTCATGATGCTGCTGGGGATGGTATAGGGCTTTCCAGAGGTTAAAGTGATCCCTTGGTTGTGGGGCAAATCTAGTCCTTTGGCCATGTGATGGTTGTTTTAGATTCCTTGTTGAAAGAATCTAAGGCTGATTTTTCCATTGCTTGTTATTTTATTTGGAAACCTTTTTCTAACCTATCTAAATCTTGTCCATCCTTCCTAGTCCAATCAAAATAACCTTTCCTCCAACTATTTGATCATAGTTTTAGTGTGTGGCTTTCACTTATGGGAAGTAACAGAAGATGCAGTCTTTATTAATCTCCTAATTTGGGAGAACAAAAGGCCAAGGGGGGAAAAAAGCACTCATTACTGATTAGGCAATTCCTCCATTTTCTCTTTTCTCCCTAAATTATCCTTCTTCTGCTTTCCTAGGCTTCTGTTCTTCTCCCTACTTCTTTTTTTTTTTATATATTTATTTTTTAGTATTTGGCGGACACAACATCTTCTAAATAACCTCACTGGAATGGGGCTTCTGATTGCCTTAGAACTTATGATGCAGAAGTTTTTTAACAGCAATCTCAAAAGTTTACTTTACCCTAAGAATGAGACAAGTGTCTCTCAATGGAGAATGAGAATCACAGCCAGGTTTTCCTCACTTACAAATTGATTCTCAGATCTTCTCCAACAAATGTATTGGCACAATACTTACCAAAAGGGATTTTATTTTAACATAGTTTAAGAATTTGACAGACATCTATAACCATAGAGTAAACTGAACACAGAATAGAGATGATACCACTTAGTTACCCTTTGTCAAGGTTGGACTTTTGTGTTTTGGATTTTATAGGAAAATCAGAGGACTTCAGGGAAAAGCCCTGGTGAACTGAAACATCAGTATTTCTGTATCAGTTTTAGTTTTGTTTTGCATTTTATTTAAATACAGTGAAGGGTATATGAGAAATGAATATCTTTGGATAGAGAGATCAGATAATGCAAGAGTGATTCAGAGAATTCTCAAGTACTAAAAGAGATGGAGAAAAGAGATCCTGCTATTAGTTAAGATGCAGCTAGATTTCCGGTCTCAGCTCAATGTTGCTTCCTTGGAAAGTCCTTCCAGGACCATCTTTTCTAAAGTACTACTTTTCCCACTCTACAATAATATTAAAAAAAAAAAAAAAAAAAAACTTCTCTGGGCATAGTGGAGCATGTCTATAATCTCAGCTACTTGGGAGGCCAGCCTCAGCAACTTAGTGAGACTGTGTCTCAAAATAAAAAAATAAAAAGGACTAGGGATGTAGCTCAGTAGTACAACACTTGCTTAGTATGCACGAGGATCTGGGCTCAATACTCAGCACCATAAAGAAAAGAAAAAAAGAGGAGAAGAAAGAGAAAATATATCTGATCATGTTACTTCCTTGCTTAAAACAAACACCTTTATTTGCTTCCCATTTTCTATGTAATAAAACCTTACTCATTGTAAAACACCTCAGGATCTGACCTTGCTAGCTAGTTTCGTTATTTCTGAGCTAGTGTCCCAGCAGTCATCTGACTAGAATTTACCCGGGCTCCTCAATGTCATGCTGTTTATTTCTCGTCTGCCATTGCCCTTTCCTGTTCTCCAAATGGAAAATATCACTTTTTTTCTCAAGACTCAGGTCAAAGGGAACCCTTCTCTGAGAAGCCCTTTCTGACCATCTACTTCTTTCACCTGAGGTCCATTCTTTTCTCTTGCCAACTCTGGAACTTGTTCATTGCAGATATTTGCCTACTGCACATTCTCCATCATTCAATTGTGGATCTCTATGGGAACTACATCTTTCATCTGAATTACTAGTATCTGGCACAATATCAATTTCTAATAAGCATTTACTGAATAGATAAATGGATTAATTGAAAAATCCTATCCTTTCATACATTAGTTCTCTGTTATTTGCTACCAGTCTGTGGTAAAGTAAGAAAGTAAAACTAAATTTGCTTCTTTAGATAACAAGAGTAAGATGAGTCTTTACTCTAGTTTGGGTATAATTTTTTTGTAACTTCAGACAAAATTAGTTTATTTTATTTATTTCACATGAAGCTAAGTTTTCTATTTTCCCACTTACTTTTATTTATTTATTTATTTATTTTAGTGGTGGGAGTTGGGGTACTGGGGACTGAACTCAGGGGCACTTAACCATTGAGCCATATCCCCAGACTTTTTAAATATTTTATTTGGCACCATGTCAGTCTTTCTCTTACTTTTTATTCTTAGTTCCAAATAACTCTGAGGTCCTTTTAATATCAAATGTGTATGTATTTATTCTATAAAGTTGCTTTGGTTGGAAAACATTTCCAGGGAGATATTTTTGAAATGATCTGTGATACTTAGGCATTTTGAAGTGAAAGTATAGATTTATTGAATAGAGGGCTAAGTACTAAGTTCTAGGCAGTGAGCAGAGGAGAAAGTGGGTAACTGATTACAGTCTACTGGCTAGTACTATATTAATTAGTACTATATCAAACATTACACATTATGAGAAAGCAGCTGTTTTCTAGTAAATTTATTAAAAATAGAAATGTATAATTCTAAAAGAAGCTCATGTATATTGTAGAAAATTCAGAAAATAAATATAAACAAAGTAGAAAATAGATCTATATTTCCCACAGATCAGAGATAACTGTGACTGTGTATATGTTAGTTTTAGAACATACTAGACACTTCTTTGTTTATTACAAAGTGTGATCATTCAGATGTGTCGTTTTATACAGCTTTTTCCTGTCATTTAGACTTTCAAATTATCAAGTTTAATTGTATCATAACATGTTCTGAATAATATATCTGAAATTTATTATGGTATATTGCATGAGTTTTGAATCAAATTTATAGTAAATTTTTGATCCTGAAGTTGTATCAAGAACTTTGTCAGGAATTGACAGTCATACTGTGAATCTATTGATGACAAGTTCTGTGTAATGTGTTTTGTTGTTGTCAAAAATCACTAATAATTGAATTGACCAAATTTATTAGACCAACCAGTAATGAATCTGGTTCACTTACTATGTATCAGCATTCCTCTAACTTTATAAATTTTTTCCAATCTAACTTATTCAGGAAAATGTTGCAAACAAATGTTCTGATTTTTTACTTTATAGATACCATGAGGTTTGTTATAAGAATATACCTAATTTATTGTTGTCTTAAAATGTTTAAAAATAAATTACTTAAACTTTTATGAATTTTACAAATGTATTTGTTTTTGTCTTTCTAGAATCTGTGTTTGTGGATATCCTCGACAACATTTAAGAAAATACAAGGGTGTAAGTAGCAGGATACCAGTTTCTTCAGGATTCATGGTGCAAATGTTAACAGGAATTTATTTTGCCTTGTAAGTTTATCTCATATACAAAGCAAACCTTTGATCTTTGGAAAATTTTATATTATTAATTTATTTTTACTATATTATAATCTCAATAGCATATTTTTACTATATTATTATAATATAGCATATTATACTATATTATAATTATTTCTTACTATATTATAGTCTCAATCAGCATATTTTTATGAAAGAATAAGAATCAATATCTTAATAATAATTTTATTATTTAAAGCATATCTTTTAAAGCTCTGAAGAATTTTAAACCAACTAAAATATTTTGTCATTTTTCTTCCCTTTCTTTGCCTTTTCTTCCCTTCCCTTTCATTTCCTTTCCTTTTGAGATGAGGTCTTTCTATGTTGCACAAGCTGGCCTAGAATTTATGATCCTCTGTCTTCAGCCTCTAGAGTTTCTGGGATTACAGGCATATCCCACCACACCTGACTTAACTTTGCGTGTGTGGGTGGGGGAGTTCTCATTATGTTGCTCAGGCTGGTCTCCAGTGATTCTTCCACCTCAGCCTCTGGAGTATCTAGGATTATGAATACATCATTTTTCTTTCATTAAAGGACAGAATGAAAATGAATACCATAATATATCCATCATTCCTTTCTTCATTACTCTTTTTTTGCAATAAATTCCAAATTGGTTTTTCCCCCAATGAATGTCTTTTACTGTTTCCAGAAATTTTAACTCTTCCAAAAGCATTTTAGAACCACTTTGGAAATAGTTTGCTACTAATTTACTGTTAATTTCTTATATTGGTACAGTCTTACCTAATGACTTAGGTAGGGACTAGTTATTTCTTTGAACCATAATTTTTTCTTTGTAATTCTCCTATCATACATATCATACTATACTTTGGATTATATTCATTTGACACTTTAATTTTCCCCCATTGATTGTATGCTTCTTGGCTAAAGGCAGAATTATTGATCTTTGGACCAAATCTGACCTGCGGCTTTTTTTTTTTGCAAAGTTTTACTGAAACACAGTCTTTCTCATTTGTTTACATATCACCATGGCTGCTTTATTGCTGCACTGGCAGAGTTGATGAGTAGTTGTGAGAAGGACTATATGGCCCATAAGCCTGAAATATTTGTTTAGTCCTTTAAAAAGTTTTTGTTCCCTGTGTTACATCATTCATATTGTCCTAGAGTTTTTTGATTCTCTGATTCATTTTGAGTAATTTCTGTTGATCTATCTTCACATTAGCTTATTCTTTTATCAATTTGTAGACTTGACATAACCTACTGTGAGGACACTGAAGGTGTTCTTCATCTCTGTTTCTGTTTTATTTCTAGCTTTTTCACTCAACTCTTAATAGTTCCCATCTCTGCTGAAATCTCCATCTGTTTGTGCATGTTGTTAATTTTCCTGACAACTTCAATATCTAGATCATCTCTGAATTTGGGTCTACTAATGGATTTACTTATTGACAGGATTATTTTTAATCTTGCTTTTTGTATGCCTTGTAATTTTTGATTGTTTATGATGTTGTTCAGAGATAGAACAGTGGAGACTGAGGTAAATATTTATGCCTGAAATGGGCATGGTTCTTTTCTTTTAGGCTGCTGGTGGAGTTATTATGGGCAGGAGTGTGTGTGTGTGGCAGGGAGTTGGGTTTTGTTGTTGCTATGGTTACCTCCAGGGCACCACTTACTTCCCTTTCCTCTAGTTCTACCTGGTATTAGGGTGGGAGCTGGGTTGCTGGAGGGTTTTCTTCCATATTCCTGCTCCACTGTTAGCTTTCCTGAGTGCCTGTACCTCACAGAGGGTCTCTCTCTGTGTTCTTCCCCTCCTCTAGCAGTAGAATGTTGCTGATTGTTTTTAGGTGTGCAGTAGCCTGTAGGTTTTGGTATGGGGGTGTGGTAGCAAACAGTGTCTTCTATTGTTCTGGTCCAGCCTCAGCTCTAAGCAGGCTTATTGCCCCTGAATTTCTCAGTGACTGTGCTCCTCTCTAGGTAAATGACCCCTAGTGATCTCACATAGAATGAGGTTTTAAAATTTCTTTTGCTTTCCTCAGAACCACAGTCTTTACCTATGCCCTAGAGTTAAAAGGTTTGCTGCTCTTTCCCCTAAAGCTTTAAAAAATTTTTTCCACACTAGAAAAGGGTCTGGCTAGGTCTTCGTGCCTTTCCCATATGAGTGGCCACTCAGGTCCTTCATCCCTGTACTACTCCAGGGCAGCTTTCACTGGTCCCCTGCCCTGTTTCCAGTATTTCTTGTGAGCTTCTACATGAGCTCCTATGAGAGGTGTGTGGAGAAGAGCCTGAGAGGATAAAGGATTACCTTGTATGTGCTTCCCAGACATTCTACTCTCCCACTAGCCAGTGACTCATCCTTTTGGCACTTTGGCTCTAAGAAATTTATTAAGAGGTTTAGATGAATTCGATGCAAAATGCACTTATATTGGGGCCCACATTTTAGGGTTCTGGCTGTTTGGTTGCCTAGAACCTTAGCTCTTTGATGGATTCATGAAAAGTAATGATTTTGAAGACTACCTGGATCTATCTTGTTTTTTAGGATGGAAGTAATTCTCTTTCCAGTTGTTTAGATATCATTCATGACTCTCTATTTTGTTGACAGATGACCAAGTCATTATATCTCTGTTTACCTCTATTATTTAACTGATGGTTAGGAAGGGTTTGGTACACCTTTGAAAATTATTCTTATGTATTACACATCCCAACATACACACACCTTTCCCCCTCATATTTCATACATCATGTGCACTAAGAAATAAGTACTCAGGACACTGAGTAGTGGTTGGTTCTCATTAAAAGCCACAAGAGTTACAGAATAATTTGACCATAAAGTGTTCTGAACATTATTCTAAGGTATATAATTTATTATGTTCTGGTTTGCTTTAAAAATACAAAATGCTTTGAAACTGCCTTAGCTTTTTTTATTTTGTTCTATAAATAGTCATGTTCTTTAGAGAAGAAATGTACATCTATAAAATTTTCTTTGCTATTAATAGGATTTCAGATACAATTGAAAGAAACTCAAAAGATTTGAAAATTCATTTTTAAGGGGAATAGAATGTTAAGCAATGTGCTAATGTGATCTGTTATTTTCCTCAGTAAATAGTTCTTCATTACATTTTGTTCAATAATATAAAATTAACTAAAAATAATAACACTTTATTTAATTTGCTTAATTTTGTAGATATAATGGAGAATGGGATCTAGCTCAAAAAGCATTGGATGATATTACATACAGAGCCCAGCTAGAATTATATCCAGAGCCACTGCTGGTAGGTGCCTCGCTTATTTATATATATTTTAAAATTTATGCTTTTTTCAGTTTAGAATTATAAATTAAGAAGAAGTCATTCATAGTGCATTGATATGTCATTACTACTCAGTGATTCTGTTCTTGTTATATATAGGAAATTTTACACTTAAAGGGGTATATTTACAATTTAAAAATTTCATTACATGAACTTCTTAGATATGTGAGTCTTTTTAACTTATGAGAATTTTTCCTTAGCATTTATGTTTAGGAACTTAACATAATGTTTTCCTTAAGGTACATTTGTTAATTAATGTAGACATTAGGAAGCTTGATTTAATGTTTTGAAATTTTTAACCTCATCACATACGTATTGTTTTTAACTGTAAATTTCCTTCTGAGCCTCTTACTCCTTATTCTAGAGGATTTATGTATTGTCTTATGGAATATTTTAGAGTGGTTTTTTTTTAAATCCTATCCTGTTTTATCTCAGGGCAAAATAATACGTCTGTTAATGTCAATCTCAGACTGTATTATTCCTTCCTAGGTTGCTAATGCAATAAAGGCTTCATTGCCTCATGGTGCCATGAAATCTAGTAAGGAAGGTACACGGTGTATTCAAGTTGAAATCACACCAACTTCCTCTAGAATATCAAGAAATGCAGTAACCAGCATGTCAATAAGAGGTCATAGGTGGAAAAGACATGGTAAGAAATACATAACTCTTCCAATTAGAGCATCCATGGCTCTTTACATTCTGCTCTGCACTTATGGTGCTGGAACTTATAACTTTAGTAAATAGTGTCCTGGAAGAAGGGGCTACTGAGTCACTTTAATTCCTAATTTATCATCCAGCGGCAATAGACAAGGAAAATGGAGTCCCTTACGGTACACATATGAATGAAAATTTATTTAAAAGTTGTATTAGTTTTTAAGTTGAATTTCAATAGAATAGGAAAGTTAGAAAAATGCATTTTCAATTATTCATGCATTTTGGTTTTCTATTCTTACTTTTAGATATTCTCTTAATAAATGCTTCTTATTTCTCAATGAACCCTTAGCAGGTAAATTTGCGTATAAAAGCAGAACAACTAACAAGGACTTTAAACATCTTGTCTGGACTTCCTGGTAAAGATGTATTGATGCAACCTTAGGCATTTCCAATTTTTTATGTTAATTTTCTTTCAAGATTGTTTGTGTTAATCTTTCTTCTTGTCTGCTTAATTTTATTATTTTAAAGTTTTACTGGAAGTTAATTTTATTCATGGTCTTAATACTTTCCCATTTTCCTCCTTTGTCTTTTATTTTTTTCCTTATTTAATTGCTTATTCTTTTTATAACTTTCCTCCTACCTAAAATTCATTGTAGTGGCAAGAATCAGTGCATGAAGAGGATTATTATTACCTTCCTCAGAAGGTGACCTTTGGATGAGAGGCAAGCAGCTACTTTTTTTGCCCCAAGCAAAATGTGTATTGGGGATAAAACAAACTCCTGTCTCTGTTTTTCTACTATAAACTGAGGTGAAAATTGTAGCTCTTTTGCTATACTGTATTGAGTTCAGCTGTTCTATGGTCTCTATAGAGAAAAGGGAAAGTGAGAAGGAAGAGGTTATGTATGGTGGAGTAGAAAGCTAATGAGAACATTTGCCATTTTCTCCCTTAAACACTCTGGGGGATTGTGTGCAAAAAAGAATGAGGATGAAATGATCTCATTTAACTAGTGATTATGTTTGCTCATTTTCTGTTTTTAAGTCAGTGTGACAATTTCTTAAAATCCAATAGGAAGGCATAAAAAGGTGGCGATGTTTGCAATTATCAAATTATGGTACTATTTAAAACAACAAAATCTAAACATACTTCAGTTTTTTCAATAAAAATTATGCTGTTGAATGAAACTATATTATAGGTAGAAGTAATTTAGTTAGATATGAGAGTCCTCCAATGGTCAAATTTTCTGTGATGGCATTAATGTATGAAAATAGGCACAGAAGCAACCAACTAGACCCTACAGGACACTATGGCCACACTTGGACCCAAAATACTGCTACAGAAAATGCAAGAATGAATTTTAATTTCTCTTTTACTTTCCCTTCTTGCTGTTTAGGTTGTCATTTGGGGAATTAGGGGGGGAAATGTAGGTCCTATAGTTAAAAATGTGAAAAGTATCGAAGCTCTCTTGTGCATGTATGTGTGAGAGTGTGTGCATGTCCAAGTGTGCGTTTAACAGAAGGAGGTATTACACTGGATAAAATGGAAGCTATTTTCCAGAAATATTTTGTAAGGAAAAAAATTACCAAAATAAGAGAAAAGACTATTTAAATATATTGTCTATTAAGTTTTTACATATCCTCTAGGTTCAATTTTGGCTGCCAGTTGAGGGGTTGTGCACTGTTTCAAGGCTGCAGCCTCACTAAAGTAGCCTTTCCCCCCTATACTTATTCAGACCTTACAACTCTAACACTTGAGCAACTTCTGCTTATGATAGCAAAAAAGGTCATAGAAGAGAGTGAACTATGAAAAGCAGGTCATGTGCATGAGCAGATACAGAATACAATTGAGCCTTGTTTGCCACCTTCTGTAGTGTGAATTCTCTTCATCTGGTGGACTATATGGTATTCCTAGTCAAAGGTCCTTCTGTCTCTACAGATAGGTTGCATTCTCCTTTTATAAGGTTGTCTTAGCTTTCCTGCTATGTTAGTCTCTTTTCTGTTGCTATTACAAAATACCTGAAGCTGAGAACTTAAAAAGAAAGGAAATTTTTTTCGGCTCACAATTTTAGAGATTGAAAGTCCAAGCAAAATCAGGCAGCATCATCTGTTTGGTGCACCCTCATCTGGCAAGGCCCCCCTTGGCTGGTTCACAACGTGGTCAATGAGAGGAAAGAGAAGTAGCTGCACACAGAAGAGGCCAACCATTGTGAGTGGTCTTACTTTATAGCAACCCACTCTATCAGGGTCCTATATCAATTAATTCCAAGGGTAGCATCCTCAGTAACCCAGATACCTGCCACTAGGTCTTACCTCTGAATGGTTCTGCCTTTCTCATAGTATCACACTGGGACTAAGCTTACAGCACATGGACCTTTGGGAAACACACTTAAGCCATGACACTTTCCTAAAGCAGTATTTCTCATGAAGTTACCATGTTTTGCTGAATTAAAGGCTTTTTTTTTTTTTTTTAATTTTCAATCCTCATGGTCTTTCTTCCTCTAAGGGTGTATTATTATTCTGAACTCTCTGGCCAGCATGGAATTCCTGTGGGGAAGATAAATATCTTTTATATATCTCTTAAATATATAGATAGTTCTCAGATTATAAATCTTTAAATTTGGTTTTATTTATACATAAAATTATATTTGTAAGTAAATTATATATATATATGTGTGTATATATATATGTATATATATACATATATATATATAAAACAACAAAATGTAATTAATACATTTCTTTAGAAATAGTGTTAAAAGACTTCCAGATTCCAGGATAACCCACAAGGGCCTTTTTATGCCACAGTGTTTCTGAAGAATACAGTACTGTAAAATGTAAATTCAATTTGTGACCATTTGAAAACACATTTAGGATTCTTTTATTTATGGAGCCATAAATATGTTTCCCATTCCACCCATATCTCTCTGCTTGCCCCTCTTTCCTTTGTATCTGGGTAGAAGAGGGAAAAAGTGAGGCTCTGCCACTGAAGCAGCCAAGCATGACTTTCTTTTTTCACTTGTTTCCTTTCCATTTCCTTTTATCATTATATACAATTAAACTAGACATCAGAAATTATTATACAGCAACAAATACATTAATTGTAACAATAAGCCACATTTATTCTTTTCTATTTTTAGTAACAGAAAACAAATTTTAATTATCTTTACAGCCAAAAATTACACTCTGGTGTTTTAAAAGTTATTTTTAATTACTATATCTTAAAAGATTTTTTAACTATTCTAGAATGTATTTCAGGATTCTCTGAAGCTCCACGCATCCATCCACTGTTTATGTTTTAGTGCAAAGTATCCTAATGAAAGGTAAAAAATTACTTTAGACTTAACATTTTCACACATTTCAGACTATACATCCCTTGCTGCTGTTTTATTGTTGTTGTTAAATAATAACCCAAAGTTTCAGAATTGTATTCTGACCCATTCTATTATTTGCTTGTCCCTGTATTTTATTTTATCATTAATAGACTTCATTTTTTTTTAAGAGCAGTTGTAGGTTCACAGCAAAACTGAGTAGGAAGTACAGAGCATCCTCATCTCTACTCTAGCCCCCGACACATGTAGCCTTCTCCACTACCAACATCCCACACTAGAGTGCATTCATAAGGTCCTATAATTCAAATTTTGATCAGACAGTGCATCCTTATTTGAATGGATTTTTTTTTAAGTTTGGTTTCAATAGAGGTATTATTTTGGAGAATTATTTGACATTGAATAGCATGTTCACCTGATTATCACCACTTTTCACTTGATTATTTTAACATTGTACTGACATGGCTTAACTTAAAATTTTGTGTGTTTCAAATTTTTTAAACATTGTATTTAATTCTTTGAAAAATTATATTGATTTTTATGAATCCATGTCAATGCATATGTTTGGAAACTAAAGTTAGAATGTGTTATTGCTTTTGACTTTTAAAGAATATAACTTCATAAATAATAGCTTTATTTGCATAGCGGTAGTTTTCATTCAGTCTAGATGGTAGATAATTCAAGGCAAAGGTTTATTTTTCAAACCTAGATTTTTCAAGCCATCTACAAATTGTGGGCTATCTAGAAGTCATTATTGGAAAGTAAAATACAATTACAGGAAGATAAAAATAGAGTAAACTTCAAAAAGTATTATGTAAAGGAAGAGAAAAATGAATAGATGATGATCACAATAATAAGAATCAAAATGAAAATTCCATTAAGAAAAATAAGCTAAAATTTAGTGAAGTTATATGTTAATTTTTTGTAATTTTTTAAAAAGTTAATCAAAAGGGGCAATTTTGCTTAAATATTTCCTTTAAAAATAAACACAATAGCTAAAATGGAAACAAAGTATTTCTTTATAATTAAGCTTTATTTTTATAGTTTTTCTTAAATATTGTTTCTAAAGCTATCTTCATCATCTACCCCTGTAGCTGTAAGAGCCCCTTTTCTTGAACCTGAGTGGGTCTCTAGCATTGATTCTAGTATACAATATATTTTTATTTATTTCCATTGCTGCCCCTCCTCCAGAGCAAATTTCCTTGCTATTTTTGTTTGCTTCCCCTGAGTCCCCCCACCATGTGACTCATTATTCTACTTTTTAAAAAATTATCTATACTTGTTGTTGTTCCAACATAAGCATTTTTTCTTTCTTTTAAAATAGTTATTGAAATATCACTTATTCATTCTATAAAAGTCCCCTGGTTTATTTATGGTTGCAAATAGTGAGTGCTCATAATTTTTGCCAACTAATATTTTTAAAAAGGCTTAACCAGTAAAATCCCCATCTTTTTTACTACCTACCGTTCTTTCCACTTGTGTATTTGTGAGATGATGAGAGAAGTAAGTGGAAAGTATTTAGTATACTTTAAAGCACCACATAAAGGCAATTGTTAATTAAGAACTATAATGAGTTTTATTACCTACATAGTAATTGTATCTGTGGTTTTTGTTGAATACTTTGCTGTTCAAATAGTTCTGTGATAGATTAGCTCTTTAATAAATTGGATAC